CCAGTAGGATGACTGGCTGGTGCATGGGTTTAATAGAAATAGGCTTCACACCATTAACAGAGTGCAAACCCATTTGTGTTTGTATTGTGGTGATTGATGAACACTGAGTTCAGTGTGTAAGCATCCCAAAAATGCATTTGTTTATTGTATTATTTGTTTATGCAAATATTCAGCAAGTCATCACATTCATATCCATTGAAAGTGAAATCAAATTCACATAAAGTGTGACAATGCTGTCTGGATCCGACCCAAGTAATGGATATGGCAAACAACAGAAAAACTGATCTAGATCTAAGGCAGCAGAGAGCAAGGGGCTCAGCCTCTGGGTCTTATCTCATGAAATTGAGTACAAGGCTTTTCTCAGTCACAATTCTTTTCAATACCATGTAGATATAGCTTGAGGGGATTATGGAAATTACACTATATAATAGGCATGTGCCTCAGATAGTGTGTTGGGCTTGGAAGCCTGCATTGTCTCGATGCACATGCTGAACAAATTGCTTGTCATCAGTAATAACATAGAAGAATTTTAGATTCATAAGGACCAGAACTGTTCATTTTAATGCAGTTAACTCTTCAGAATTTAGAGATAAAATATTTAAAAATTCATTATTGTATTAATTTTCAAACATGTGAACCTGGAGATCTGGGTTGATTTTCTATTGGTGACAATATGGATTCCTATTTTTGCAGTATATGAAAGTTTGTAGTCCCTGGCCTATAGGCACCTGCTTTAAAGATTGCCCTTTGTTTTAGGTCTTACTGATGATCTTCAGCTTTTTGATAGGTCCATTACAGGGTAACACTGGATGGGTGATTGATTCCCTTAACTCTCCTACTTTATATCACAGGTCATAGAAAACAGTATTTCATTTTCAGGATGCATACTGTGTCCTTCTCCTCCTATTTGCCTTTGGCAGCTGTACATCTGATTAATATGGTAAAATGCCAGAAACCTTTAAAGTGGTTGTAAATCCGTACACGCTGTATACCTAGTGAAGTGACTGGCCTCAGGTGATACACGGAGATTAAACAAATCCTCCTATCTGCAGTATTTGTACCTATATTTGTTTATCTGCAGTATTCTCTTACACCCTTCTCAGTATATTTGTTCAAATACTCTGAGGATGTCAATCTGATATATCATTTTTCTCTTGGTGCTTGTATAAGAGAAGTGATAGCAGAAGAATGAAGCAACAGACAGAAATGGCACTTAGTGCTCTTAATTAAGACAAGTACACACTATAGAGGGATATGCTTTGTTCATATTACATGTCTGACATTTACAACCACTTTGAATTGGCAAGTTAGCACATCAGCATGTTTTCATATGTTCTTCAGATTGTTGTAGGCAAGGCTGTGTTTGAATTATTAAGTGTATGGTAGCAGAGATTCCCTGTAAATGAGAAAATAAGGGTGAGCTGAAAAGAATCCAAATTGGGACAAATCCTACCTTGTGCATTTCCATTTGTTAATCTCAAAGGAATATATGATAATTGCCCTTTTAGCAGAAATAATATAATATGTAACTATTTAATAGACAATCAAAAAAATACTGTATTGGCACCATTTTCTTCCCACCAACTACTTTTTATGGTTTGCTTGACATGTCAGGATCTATGGTACCATTTGCCACTATTCCTAGATTGTAAGCTCGTAAGAGTAGGGCCCTCTTACCCCTCGTACGCTGTCTGTCTTTGTTGTACCATGTATTGTCCCCCCCTATTGTAAAGCGCTGAGCAAACCCTTTGCCTATATAAACGTAGTAATAATAATAATAATGAGTAGGTTATTTTAAAAGCACCAAGGATTGACATTTTATTTTGGAATTTTAAAAACTCTCCTCTGGGCTGGATTTTGTATTGTATTTGCAGTGCAACAGACATTGATTGTTGGGAAATCTTCATTTCTGTACAGTTTTGTCTGGGTGATTGCTTAAATCATCGGAACTGGGAGTTATGTAGAAGAATGCCAGAGATAGGAAATGAGGGATCCCAAGTTTGAAAGCTGTGAATGTATAATTATATGCCTGTATTTGAAGAACAGATCATTGTTCCACCCAGTCCAAAAGTTCCTTCAGTATCCAACTGATGTGGAAATCCAGTTACACAATGCTTGCATTTACTTGAATAGGCGTTCATGTTGAATTTGTTTGCGCTTGTTCAGGTCTGGCTTGCTTAGCATGTTAGAGTGGAACTAAAGTCAAGGAGTAAAACTTTCCAAGGTATAGTAAAAACATCTGAACAAAAAATGTATATTGTGCCTAATCTTCACCCTGATAATTCACATTTTGTGTTGAATTCTGCCTAAGCAGCAATGCTCTTTCTGGCATGTGAATGTGTCTTGGCATTGCTGTGCCTAAAGCCTCATAGCTGTAAAGATGCTGTGTTAATCTCAGGCAATGCTGCCTAAGGCTGCTAAATTCAGGATTGTTATTATTATTTATTATTATACAGGATTTATATAGTGCCAACAGTTTACACAGCAGTTTACAATATAAAGGGGGACAGTACAATTACAATACAGTTCAATACAGAAGGAATATGAGGGCTCTGCTCATGGAGCTTACAACCTAAAAGATGGAGGTTTGTAGTGAAATCTGGTGATGTAAATGATGTGCTTCTAACTGTTCTCCTTTCTGGAGATTCTGAAATGAGGAAGTACAGCCATGCCTCTATCAAGATGGCCACCCCACACAGAGAAGCAGTGCAGAACAAGGCATAGTAAGTCAAGAAAGGATGAATGTATAAGTAGTGAAGCGCTAAATGGTATTAACACATATATATACCTTAGACAGACATGGTTCCAATGATACAGATGACCTAGTGTAATAATCCAGGTATATATCAACACAAGCTCAACACGTATAAAAATCTCTTAAAGGGATGTGGTATTATCACATAAATATATATAAACAGATATGACCCCAATAATCCAGATAGCCTAATAGTGCAATAGTCTTTGTGTCAATCAATATATGCTCAACGAGTGCATAAATCCCTTAAAGATGTGTGGCATGCACAACACAAGACAAAAAAGTGTCCTTAAATGGAAAAAATAAGAAGAAGAATCTTCGTGCAGGTGTGCGACCAATACGTGACAATCCTCAGTGGCTGGGGTCCCCCCTCACCTTCCTGCCCAGGCCCCATATGGCCAATGAGCCTTGCAGTATTCTGTTCCAAAGGATAGATTCCTTGTTAATAGTGGTGTTGGGACTCTCTCCTCCTCTGTAACCAAGGTCTCCCCTGAACACTTCTGCTTCTTAGGGCCAATGGCTTTCCAAACTCGTCCTCAGTAAAGCAAGGAAATCCAATATAGTGTAAAACCTTTACACTTATTGAAGTATAAAAGCTTGCATCTACTCACATATGTAGATATGTCACAGCATTATTTCCACTACAGCATGGGTGGATGTGTCCGGGTGCACCAAGATGGCGTCGACGCCGGATATGACATTGTTGCGCTACCGCTCGAGCTCCACCTACTGGCGTATCTACGCGTTATGTCACGATTTGACCATGTGACTTCCTCAGGATAAGTCAAGAAAGGAGAAACAATCAGATGAAGGGAGACCACAGGCAATACCGATGATTATTCTTTGCCTTCTAAATTCCATTTGTGGTCACAACTACCTCGGCTAAGGCCCTCTTTAAATACTGATGTCATTTAATTAGAGCTTAAATAAAAAATTAAGTGGCATAGACAACATTTAATCAATTTTACCAGAAAAAAACATGCGTTAAAAAAATATCGATAAGATTTTTGGTCAGTTTGTTAACGCTAGTTTGAGCCAACTGCAAATAGATTCCCTATCTGTACAGTTGCAAAGTTTCCAGGATAGCATTAGAATTGTCCTTTAATAAGTCACTAAGGTATGTACCTTTTTTCAAAGTACTAGATTCTTGTCTTCCAGTCCTGGGTATAAATTGTAACTGGGAACATAATACAGTTTCTTTGAATGTGCAAAAAGTTTTCATTTTAGCACTGCAAGGCATGACTATCCTAAATCATATACTAGACAAGCATAGCCATAGTCTGTATTTATCCCCTTTCTCTCTCATCTCACTGTGTTTTTTGAGACCAAAATGTAAAATGTGCATGAAATGGATTTTGAAACTTTGCTGATCCAGTATGAAGAGTATGAAGATTGTAATAAAAATAATGCATTGCATTTTTAGAACAAACGCCTTAGATGGATTAATTTTCTTAATGCATCTAGCAGCAGGAGTGAAAGCTTTTTTAAAAGGATGTTAAATCTGTATATTAAAAAAAATAAAATGGAGCTACAAACTAGTGAATACCATACAAGGTAACTTACACTATATTGCCCAAAATATTGGGACGCCTGCCTTTACATGCACATGAACTTTAACCACTTGCCTACAGGGCACTTATACCCCCTTCCTGCCCAGGCCAATTTCCAGCTTTCAGCGCTGTCACACTTTGAATGACAATTGCGCGGTCATGCAACACTGTACCCATATGAAATTTTTTTCGTTTTTTTTGTGACCAATAGAGCTTTATTTTGGTGGTATTTAATCACCTCTGGATTTTTTATTTTTTCTTAAACAAGCCAAAAACCACTGAAAATTTTGAAAAAGAAAAGGTTTTTTCTTAGTTTTTGTTATAACATTTTGTAAATAAGTGATTTTTCTCCTTCACTGATATGCGCTAATGAGGCTGCACGAATAGGCTGCACAGACGGACACTGATAGGTGCCACTGATGGGCACTGATGAGGAGGCACTGGTAGGTGGCACTGATGGGCATTGACAGGCATCACTGATGGGCACTGAAAGGCAGCACTGATACATGGCACTGATATATGGGACTGATAGGCAACACTGATAGGCGGCACTGACTGGCACTGATAGGCAGCACTGACTGGCACTGATAGGCGGCACTGACTGGCACTGATAGGCGGCACGAACAGGCACTGATATGCGGCACTGATGCACACTGATAGGCGGCACTGACTGGCACTGATAGGCGGCACTAACTGGCACTGATTGCCATTGATAGGTGGCACTGACTGGCACTGATGGGTGACACTGCAAGGCAGCTTAGATAGGCACTGATATGTGGCATTGATGTGCACTGGTAGCACTGATATGTGGCATTGATGTACAGTGGTAGGCACTGATATGTGGCATTGATGTGGCACTCGCACAAGGCACTGATGAGCACTGACACAATGGACGCTGACAGGTGGCACTTCTGGGGTTACACTGATCATCAGGGCACACTGATCATCAGTGCCCTGATGATCAGTGTACTTGTCCCCTCCGCGGACAGCCAATTACCGGCTCTCCTCTCCTCTCGAGCTCTCAGCGTGACAGCTCGAGAGGAGAGAAATGCCGATAACCTGATTGGACACAGCTGATCACATGACCGAGCCGACACCTTCGGCTCTTTCCGTGATCGGTGATCCACTGTGTCCGAGGGACACAGCGCCCCGCCGATCGCCGCGCTGCGCACTCCCTGAGCCGCGCATGCATGGTGAGAATGGGAGGACGTCATATAACGTCCTCTCAGAATGAGAGAGCCACCTTGCATCTGTCATATTACTATATGGCGGGTGGAAGGTGGTTAATGGCATCCCAGTCTTAGTCTGTAGGGTTCAATATTGAGTTGGTCCACCTTTTGTAGCTATAACAGCATCAACTTCTCTAGGAAGGCTCCCCACAAGGTTTAGAAGTGTGTATATGGGAATGTTTGACCATTCTTCCAGAAGCGCATTTGTGAGGTCAGGCATGTCGGCTGAGAAGGCTTGGCTCGCATTCTCCACTCTAATTCATCCCAAAGTTGTTCTATCGGGTTGAGGTCAGGACTCTGTGCAGGCCAGTCAAATTTCTCCACCCCAAACTCGCTCATCCATGTCTTTATGGACCTTGCTTTGTGCACTTGTGCACAGTCATGTTGGAGCAGGATGGGGCCATCTCCAAACTGTTCCCACAAAGTTGGGAGCATGAAATTGTCCAAAATGTCTTGGTATATTGATGCCTTCAGAGTTCCCTTCACTGGAACTAAGGAGCCAAGACCAACCCTTGACAAACAACCCCCCCACCATAATTCCCCCTCCACCAAACTTTACACTTGGCACAATGCATTCAGGCAAGTACCGTTCTCCTGGCAACCACCAAACCCAGATACATCCATCAAATTGCCAGACAGAGAAGCATGATTCATCACTCCAGAGAACATGTCTCCACTGCTCTAGAGTCCAGTGTCGGCGTGCTTTAAACCACTGCATCTGACACTTTGTATTGCACTTGGTGATGTAAGGCTTGGATGTCGCTGCTCAACCATGGAAACCCATTCCATGTAGCTCTCTATGCACTGCCGTTGTGCTAATCTGAAGGCCACACGAAGTTTTGAGGCCTATTTCTTATATTGACAGTTGGCAGACAGTTGGGGGTTTATTTACTAAAGCTGGAGAGTCCAAAATCAGACTCCCTTCTGCATAGAAACCAATCAGCTTCTAACCTCAGCTTGTTCAATGAAGCTTTGGCAATGAAACCTGGAAGCTGATTGGTTTCTATGGAGAAGTGAGTCTGATTTTGCAGTCTCCAGCTTTAGTAAATAAACCCCTTGGTGACTTCTGCGGCCTATGCACTTCAGCGTGCCTGACCCTGCTCTGTCATTATTACAAGTTGCTGTTGTTCCCAGTTGCTTCCACTTTGTTATAATACCACTAACAGTTGACTGTGGAAAATTTATTAGCAAGGAAATTTCATGAATGGACTTATTGCACAGGTGGCAACCAATCACGGTACCACGCTTGAATTCATTGAGCTCCTGAGAGCGACCCATTCTTTCCCAAATGTTTGTGGAAGCAGTCTGCATGCCTAGGTGCTTGATTTTATACATCTGTGGCCATGGAATTGATTGAAACACCTAAATCCAATGAATTGGAGGGGTGTCCCAATGCTTTTGGCAATATAGTGTATCATAGTAAAAGTAGTAGCCATATAGGCTAAGATGGGACATTTACTTTTCGTTAAGGTTTACTCACAATAGTGCAACTAGAGGGCTTTGGTGCATTCTTCAGCAATGTATAAAAAAAACAGATTTTCAATCACATTATGTTCAATTACATCTTTATTTAATTCCTGCTTGCAATATTTTTTTTACATATTTTCTATTTGCATTATTAAAGATTTTAACCAATCATCAAAACTGCATGCATTTTTTTATTATTTTTAATGAAAAAATTGGCACATAGTGTTGATCTGAGTATTAAAGAGAACTACATCTACTGTAATTTCTGTTTAAGGGCTAGTACCACAAGGTATCTACTCTTACAAATAGCCAGAATAATATCCTCCATGCACTTTTTTGATTGAATTTCTCTTTGTTGCTAGGGTTCTGTCTTTCTTTGATTTCAAGGATAAACACTGCCCAACTGCCATTCCCCCCACCACTGAGAGCAAGGGGTGCAGGCAGCTAGAAGGGGCTTAGCCCAGAAGTAAGTGGAAGGCTGGCTCATGTCACACATTCACATGGGTGAAAAGTGAAGGGTTTTCAGGTTACTAAAGGTGAAAGCAGGCACCTTCCAGTGCCTACTGTTAGATCAGACTGTGGTTTTTCCCCTGAAACTGTTAAACATCTTGTTTTGCTAGTGAGACAGTGAGATGGCTATAATCTGCAGAATAGGAAGTAGATATTTTAGAGTAACCTCCTGTGTTCAAGTGTGGTTTCTTAGTAGTCTATAAGCTGTCACTTTTCAGCCTTGGTGGTATATGAGACCACCACTCTTTGCTGCCCTCTTAGGACTGGGGAAGTCCCAATACACATAGCACTATAAAAACAAAACAAGGGCAAAACAACCTAGTGCATTATCTTCATATATAATTTATTAATATAATACAAGTAAATGTTATACTCATAAACAACAGTATGTGTTAGCACATCAATACAATCCAACACCGAAAATGCCAGGTCCTCTGCACATGCTCTTTGTCATGGGAAGTAGCCACGGATGTAAATTGTGGCTGGCATATTTCAAGGGGAATCCCCTCTTCATCAGAGCCTCTGATTAAAAGGGGATTCCCCTTCAAACAAAGCTGGGAGCTTTGTGCTGACATGATACATTTCAGCATTGTAATAAAAAGAGCTGCATCTGCAGCTTTAGTTTGCAGTTTTAGGCCTGTTGCACATAGGAGTAAAAAATACTGCTTTTTTTTTACTGATCGTGAGATTGTTGTTAATGAGGGACATTGCACACAGAGATCAGCAATACAGCGTTGAGTACAGAGCAGTAAAACAAAAACATAAAAGTTTACATTTAAGTGCAGTCATTTTCTCGTTTGTTTATTTGTTTAGGGCCCTTTGCACACGAGTGTCATAATTTACTGATGTTTACTCGGGAACTTGTGATGCCCTTGTGCAAGGGGCCACAATACTGACAATGAAGAAGAATTGTACTCGTCTATACTCATCATTACGCTTACTCACCTTTACTCGCCTATACTCAATATTACTCATGTCTATACACACAGTTTTTGGCCCATTGCACACGGGCATCACAAGTTCCTTAGCAAACATTAGTAAATTATAACACCTGTGTGCAAGGGGCCTTAGTCTGCATCCCTTTAATTCATTATGAGCCTTATAAATGATCTTGCCAAAAAATGAAGCTTCTCTTGCAAGGGATGCCTGTAATTATGGCTTGGTGCAGGCTTCTGAAAAAATGTCATGTGCCAATCGCACAAGAAAGAAATAACTGTGGAGTAAGACTTCTGCATTACCATATTACACAGAGGTGAAAATAACATTTTATAACAGTTCTAGAAGCTCACAACAGTATCTGATTGCTGTGCAAACATATTTATTAATAGGGATAGGATTGCATTGTTTTTATTAAAAAACACAGCATAGCCTTTTCTTTTGTTCAACGTTTCTCTCTCTGCATGGTACACATCTGGTATACTTTTGAATTTTCTTTGGGAGTGTGTGTATGTGCGCTCCAGCAGTGGATGCACATCACAGTTTTACTGTGGTGACTAAAATAGAATGTTCCTGTGCACTGTATGTTGGCATGGCTGCGTGTAGTCCATATTAAGGGTGTGCAAGAAATGCTGTAGCTAAACTAATAGGTATTGTCACCTTAAGCTGATTTCCTGGCATGGATATTTCTACATAGTTACATTGGTCCTGCTTGGACCAGGTTAAGTAGGTGTGTTCCATAACTGGCCAATCCCCATGGAAACTAGAAATCCTTGCAGTAGGCAAAGCTATTAAAAATATTCTAACTTCACATTGTTTTCCATTTCAGGTTCTTTCATGATGGTAAATACATCTGGAAGGTTGGCTGGGCAGAGGGCTCTTCTGTTATTGCCTCAGCTGAAAGAGAATGACACACATTGTATTGACTTTCATTACTTTGTGTCCAGCAAGAGTGGAGCCTTACCTGGACTGCTAAACATCTTTGTCACAGAAAATAATGGGGTAATGGGAAACCCCGTGTGGAACATATCAGGACCAGCAACTGGGATGTGGAATCGAGCAGAACTGGCAATTAGCACCTTCTGGCCCAATTTTTACCAGGTATGATATAAACCGTTGTTTGAGAATGTAAGGTAAGGAGCTACTACTTTTATCTAGAACATAATGATAGTGTAGTATCACACTGATGTACTTATCGCTTCAGTAAGCCTTACAGAGGAGACCAGGCCTACCTTGATCTCTATAATATGCTTGGTACAAGAAAAACAAAAAAAGTGATATACTTCTATTTAAATATATAAAAGTAGTCACATGGTTAAAGTATAACTAAAGGCAAAGTGTTGTTTGCATTCAGGATAGAGAGGAGAGAAATTTGAACATCTCTCAGGATTTTATTGAAGACAGCACTGTCTGTACCCCAGCAAGAGAAATTCTATTTGGCCTCTATACTGTTATCACTGAGAGTGAACGTAAATCCCACATTTTGTGTTTTCACCAGAAAAGAAATGGAGGAGAAATCTTCCAATGGGCACTTTAGTTTGGGTGACCCTGGTGACAACCAGGGATTCTATCACTTTGGAAGGATTTCCACTGATTTCATGTGTTGACTATGGGACAGGAAGTGAAGGCAAACTTCCTAATGGGACCCAGATAACAAAATAAAACCTGGCATGGATTACAACCCTCCCTTACTATATCCAAAAGGAAAACTAAAAAGTTGTTAAAAACTTTCAGGGCCCATTCAGATCTATGTATTTGCTTAGAGGTGCATGCAGAATTATGTAGTTGAGTTGTCATCATCAACATGCAATTTCGTTGTGTGCCAACATGTATTATTGCCAAGGATTGATTAGCTTTTCTATGCATTTGGGGACGATAGCATCAAAAGCCATTGACCAAGGCTTGTTCATACCTGTTACCAAAGCATCAAAATGCATAAAAACTGTCATTGACTTATATGGGCCCCCTAATGCATTAAAATGCCAAAATAATGGACATGGACTATTTGTAAAAACACTCTGCACTGCAGCGCTGAGATGGGGACATAAACTATTTTTTTTTGTGGGGAAGTTGGACAAATGTGTTTTAGCATGTTGCAACACATTTGTAAAAATGCAACAATGCAAATGGACGCTTACAGATATAGATAGATGGTGACATGCAGTTGTTTTCCAAAATCAGATCACATCATCCTGCTATTCTGTATGTCATTTCAAATATGCTGTAGAGGCTTAGCAGGTAACATGTGATGATAGTCCCATGATACTGAGAAGATTTTTTTTTTTACAAAATAGACATAGCACAGGGATTTGCTATGCTGTTAGTCAGCCTCTATGGGCATCAAGAGATCAGGAAAGGAGCCAATATCAACAGAGGGATTCAGCTCTAGTGCACAATCTGAGGTGCGCTAACACGAGATGTGGCAAAATCACTGTCATTTTATTGTTCTGCCTACCAGTACGCCATTGGCACGTAACCCAAAAGGTGAGGCACATTGAATATGGGTAAGGATAATTAAAAATGGAAAAAAATACCTTGACTTTCACTCTAAAAACAGCCCTTTGGCTCTTTTGCTATAAAGTATTATCACACACAGTCAGTACAGATATTTAATAGTGTTTATTTTGTTTTAGATATAATAGTATTCAGTAGGGATGTTCTCTCTCTTTTTCTCATTGGCTCTTTCTCAAAATTACAAATATACTGACATTGTAATCTATATCATATGCCTTTCATTTACAATGCTGTATTATTGAAGTCAGTGCAAACAGTAATATATTTATGACAATGTGCGGCAGCTTTCTGTATGCATAAAAACCTTGTGGATGGCATTGCGCAGAGCTCATTTTTTATAACTTCAAAATATAGTTTGTCATTTTAGAAGATTAGATCCTTCACCACATACACATTTTATTTGTAGAGAACAGTGACAATATGGGAGATGCAAAGTCAGATCAATACGCATTTTTCATGGATTCACATTAGTGTCTGATTAATGAATTGATGCATTTCTACAGCTTGTATACAGTGTTTGTAATGCATTTTGTAACAAGGCCAGATATTGAAGTGAATGCGGAGAAAGAACTGTGTGGGAAGGGTTAGTGCCGCAAGAAACCAGGACCTTCTGAGTGTCGGATTGTTTTCTTAATATATAGATTGATCCAGATATTGAAAAGATGTGACATTAGCTGTGTTATAGCTGTATGGTAAAGGGTAGAAAAATAAATCTCTAGGCACCAAGCAAGATCTTTCCAAACCCCCTTCCTGTCCACCTCCCTTGCCTCAAGAGAGCAGTGAAAGTCTATACAGGTAAACAATTACATATTAATTACTATTTGCCAAAAAAATATATTAGGAGCATTTACACAAAGTAAGAAAGCTCTGAAAGCTGGATACAA